ATTATTACATCAGCTATTAATAAATCTCTTCATCTTCTTAGAAGTATACTGTTCTAAACCCAACACAAATGTTTTGTGAGAACAGGCTTGCTTTATCAGATCTAGGCACCCATAGCCTAACACATCTTCTAACAGAAGCTATTCTTATGTGTCTGGGAAGCTCACATGCAAAGTACAATAAGAATAACCACCCCCTATTATTTTTCTCTATGTGGTAATTAGCAGTTTGCTCCTTTTGAATACTGTGATTCCATATAGATGTCAAAACAACTGGTAAGAGGTAACCTTCATTAATTTTGAAAGATATCTAAGCCTTAATGCATACATTATGACAACTATGGAGATGCCACCAAAAATGCCAACCCCATTAGTGAGTTCTGGATAACATTTTGAAGTACTCAATATGTGGAATGCCACCATAGCACTGAGAGTCTCCACATCTGTACCAAAAGCCACCAGTTACATGGTATGAGGGCATGGAGAATCACATGACGGTAGCACCCCACATGATGCACATGGAAGTTTCATTGCTTCTGAAAAAACTACTCTTTTAACTTACACAGAACTGAGAATTTATGACAGATAAGGTTGGAGTAGTAGACTATTACAACCTAAGCTCAGTTTAAAACATTTCAGATGGAGATAAGAAGTAAGCAAAGCATTTCAAGGCCTACCACCCACACACAACACATGCCACAGTCTTTACCAATTCGGATTCTAGATTACTCTGGGCTTAATTGAGCAGAAGTTTTATCTTTTCTAAAGTGCAAATGCAGTCATTAATGCCCATTCAAATTACTGATCCTCTAATAAAGTATTTTAATAAAGATAAAGCATTACAGTTGTTATAGAAAATAAAATGACTGCTCCTCACTTACTTATTACATTGTGATTAAAGCTGCAGAAGGATAGATAAGGATGAAAAGCCTGGAGTTACATTTACTAGGTTTTTTTAAAAGCACCTTGATCTACAATAGTATACAAATTTATACCGATTGAGAACAATGGGACTTACTGCTGAGTAGACATGTATGGGCTTGAACTGTAAAAATCACAGGTAGAGGAAATCACTTGGCTACTGAGCTGTCCATCTTGATCCCTTGGGCATGTATAGTAGGGGAAGATGGGGCTCGTCAACCTGGGAAGGTAGGGGAAGGAAAACTCTGATCCTAAACCTCTGCTGCCTTGCGCATTCATGACAAAGGCTTTGGGAGTATACCCCAATGAAAAATCTGTAACTGATCCTTGTGCGACATTTTTTGGGAGGAAAAAAAAAGACTAAGGAATAAACCCTACACAAATCTGGAGTAGAATACAGTTGGATGGCGCCTTGTATGCCTCCTTCCAGCAACTCCTGCAGTAAAGCTGGTGGCAAATGTATTGCTGTGCTTTCCTTTGGACCACATCAGCAAGGCCAAGAGGGAGGACTTGTCATCTGGGCAGCCAAAGACCTCTCCATACACACTGCCCAGGCTTCTGCCCCAAAGAGGTCACTTCGGTGCTTGTGAACACAGCGAAAACCATGTGGGAGGCAGCAGTTATGAGTTACCAGTCTCTGCAGCCACAGAGGGCACTGTGATTTTCCAGTGGTTTGACTTCATAGTGAAGAATTTAAGCAAATTAGGTATGTTTTCTTTTTAAACATAAATCTCCTGTGTGGGAAGATAGACCAGAATTCCGCTCCCTTTGTGTGATTGGCCTTTTTTAAAATTACTATACTTCCTTTTTGTGCTAAATCATAGCACAAATCATAGCCATTTTAGCACAAATCATAGCCATTCTTTTATTTTCATGCCTTGAAGAACATTTACGGTGAAGTTCTCATATTTTATTTGTTTATAATTTTGAGCTTTCCAACCTGGATTCTAATGCACTGCCTCATTTAAAAGCATTGCATACGGTAATTTAGAAAGATTTAGAATTTTACAAATAAATCTAGTACAGTACTGATCAGAACAAGTTTTAAATGTTGCAGAGTTAAACTAAATGATATATTAACCAACTGAACAAAAGACTGGCAGTGTTAGCACTCTAAAACAATAAGAATTTTGTTCAAACAAGTTGAGTCATACATACAGTAGAATCTGTCGGTTAGAAAGAGTTTTAGCATAAGTCTAATAACATCACACATTTTTGAATATCTTTGTTTTCTGTAATGTTCTTCATTTGTTTTATGCTAATAAAATATTATCTTCATTGTTATTTATTAAATTTGTACAATGCCCTTCATCAAAAGATCACAGGGCAGTTTACAATATATCATTTTATGAACAATGTCAACTTTTATAGTTTCCCTTTAAAACCAAGACCACATTTTCCTGAAAGTTCTCCTAGCTTTTTAATCACACAAATGCCAGAATCCAGTATCTCTATCTGCATCTCTAATCTTTTGAAAGCTACTTTCAAAGTGCAGGTGGCAAAAGTAACGTGGAAGAAAATATATGTGAGCTTGGTTAGGTTCATATTTCAGGAAGAGAACAGAGTCACATCCTGAAGTATGGAAAAGCACTGCATCAGAATTACACATTAATATTAAATGGCTGTCATCTATTGTTCCATTATCATGGAATAACTTAGCCAAATGAGATATGAGCTTCTTGTTTCAAAGAAAGCCACTATTAAGCGTGTAACAGACAGTAGAAACCTGAGAGCCAAAGGACAGAGAGCTACCTAAATGATCTTCTTTCTTAAATATGAAGCACATTTTAATTAAAGATGGGTCAATTTACACCGCATACATACACTAACAGAGATACTGACACCAGATATGGATTAATATTCACTGGATTAAATTAATTGAGTCACCAAGAGAGCTGCCTTGCAATTAAACACAATATCCTACCCAGTTGGATCATATCTACACTACAGGTTGTGGTGGGTGGCACTGTGGCCTAAACCACTGAGCCTCTTGGGCTTGCTGATAAGAAGGTCGGCGGTTCGAATCCCCGCACTGCTCTGTTCCAGCTCCTGCCAACCTATCAGTTCGAAAGCACACCCGTGCAAGTAGATAAACAGGTACCGATGCAGCGGGAAGGTAAACAGCGTTTCCATGCGCTCTGGTTCCCGTCACAGTGTTCTGTTGCGCCAGAAGCTGTTTAGTCATGCTGACCACATGACCTGGAAAGCTGTCTGTGGACAAACATCAGCTCTCTTGGCCTGAAAGCGAGATGAGCGCAGCAACCCCACAGTCACATTTGACTGGACTTAACTGTCCAGGGGTTCTTTACCTTTTTTTTACACTACAGGTTACTTCACATTATTTTGGAAAGTTCCACACATTTGCCTTTGGTTCTTAGCATCTCACCTATTCATGTATCTGCCTCACATTTTCTCTGTCTCCATAATGCATTTGTCCCACAGAACTACAGTAGAGGAACTGAAATTTTACTGAAGTCGCTTGCTTGTTACTACGGGTGGTAAAAATTACTCTTTCCTAGCTTTCAGTATCAAAGTTTTTAGGCACTTAGGCAACCAGGTGTCTTCCACCATCCTTTTTTAAAAAAAATGTCAGAAGTGAAGTTTTGCATATATTCATGCCAAAAGAATATACCTGTGGCAACTCTGTTTTGAGAAGCTGAACAGTTGTACATGGCCCTAAAAACCAAAAAAGAAAGAGGAAACACAGAAGGCATTGAATTTTAACATAAACTAGTAACTATTCATTACCCTGGCAACAGCATTCCCAGGTCAACTAGGTAAATGTAAAATGAACACCAATTAACACTAAATTACAAATACAACAGATTTTCACTAAAGTTAGCAGCCTTCAATCCATGCAGATTATTAAAAAAAAATTAAATGAATCAAATCACACTTTTCTAAAAATAACCACAACCAGCATTTCCTACAAATGCCACCATACAGGCATATAATCATCAGAACTCTGAAGCAGCCAAGCCAATGGCTCTAGAATCACACTTAATTCAAGCCAAGCATGGCCTTCACATCATGCTGCAAAGTTTCACTTGACAAGCATGTTGGGCAAACAAGAGTAATTAGTTACTTGGGAAATGAGTGAGACTATTTTTGGTCCTTACCCAACCTCTTATTCCAAATACTGTAAATATATATCTTCATGAAAACCACAACTAGACAGACTCGTGAGGTATTCACACAATAGGATAACAAAGATCAAACTCAGAGTCGAAATACTGTGGGCAAAATGTTGGTCCTCTGCTTCAAAACTGACAATGTTGGAAACATCATTCACTAATTATCTTCCTCATTAAGTTCACTAATAATATGATTTCATCCTAAATGGAAATATATACAAAGTTCAGTATCTGTTGCAAAATGATGCATGTAATTTTTGCCCAATTAAAAAAAATATGAAGTATTGTTTGATGTATCCACCACCAACTATAAATAAAAAACGCACAAGGTGAATAGAAGATATTGACTCACACTGATGCTGATCTTAGATGTAAATCTGACAGGACAATTTAGTTCTGACTGATTTTATTACAATCCATTTCCTTGTATTAGGAATAGTGTCTAGCTAGCAGAATAACTGGCAAACATATCCAAGTACCAGAGTAAACATGGTCAAGTACAGTACCCACCCACCCCACTGACCCAGCCAGTTAAAATAAAAACATATGGCTCCTCCTTAAAAAGTCAAGATACCAGTAAGTACTGTATAAGAATACACCAGTTTTGGAAAGATACAAAAAGGGCCTTAGATACAGAAAGCCAGATCCTCTGGAAGTTTACTTGGAAGCACATGTGACTGGCTATAGATATAGATAGATAGTTAGATAGATAGATAATGCACTGGATTCAGCCTTTAGCATCTTTCTGCCCTTCTCCGAAGTCTTATTTCCCCCCATAAAGACTTTACATGAAAATATAGTCAGGTCAGCAGCAGAGTCGGAGGCAGAAATCCAACGAAAGCTTATGCTGAGAGTAAGTTGCATGGGGCCCAGGGGAATTTGCTTCCAGGTAAGCATGTTCAGGATCGGGCTAAAGGGATTTTTATCAGCAGTGGGGACCTTCCTCACCTCCTGGATGCGCTTGCGGGCCCGCTGCAGCACTTCCTCGTAGCCCTTTTGCCGCAGCTCGCTCAGGCTCTCGTAATACTCCTCCGGGTCGTCCGTTTCGGTGAAGAGTACCTGGGAGAGGATCTTCCACCCGCAGGTGTCCAGGCAGTGGCCCAGGTAGACCTGCAGCCGGCAGCACAAAGTGTCCATCTCCTCCTCCGACATCTCCGGAGCTCCGAAGAGGACCGTCCACATGCCCGACGGCTCCTCGGGAAGGACCGGCAAGCAGGGCTCCAGCTCGGAGCTCACCGAGCACAGCTGCTGGTGCACGGCCCGCAGGTCCTGGAAAGAGAAGAGGCCGGCCCAGCTGCACTCCTCGCCCGACGGCGCCTCGGTCTCCGCGGAAGGCGGCTGCGGGGCCGCTGCAGGCCCGGCGAGCGGGGACGGCAGCAGGAAAGCGGCTCCTCCCGCAGGCTCGTCTTTCCCCAGCTCCAGCACCTCGATGTCCTCGGCCGCGCAGGCCGCGGGGCTGAGCGGCGCCTTCGCAGCAGGCTGAGGCCTCCGGGCAGGGCTGCTCCGCGCCCGGGCCGGGCTCCTCTGCGGCGGCGGCGCCTCCGCCACTCGGCTGCCGGGGCTCCTAGGCAACGGCTCGGCCCGGGCGGGAGAAACCGGCGAGCTCCTGGCTTGGCCAGGCTCGGCGCTGCTCCAGGCCGGGCTGCTCCTGCGGACGGTGGGGCTCCCGGGCACCTTGGAGGAAGAGGCGCGGCGGTGGCGGCTCGCTGGTGCTCGAGGCCGGGGCTCCCCCCGCGGCGGATCTCCCTGGAGCCGCTGCGCTGCCTCTGCGCCGTCCGGTTGTGGCAGGTGATGGCGAACTTGCCCTCGATCTCATTCCAGGCCACGATGAAGACGAACTTGTGCTTCTCCCGTTCGTGGAAGGCGTGAGGCCTCACGGCCACCCAGTCCGCCTCCAGGGTCTCCTCCAAGGCGAAGGTGCTCATGGTGGCCGGGGGGGGGCAGCCGCTGCCCGCCGCCGCCCGGCTCCCTTGCTTCCTCACGACCACCAAACCGGGACCAGGGCGCTCAAGTCACTGCCCAACAGCCTCAGCCATTTTAGCGGCGGCGGCGGGCAGGGAGGGAGGGAACGTGAAGGGAAGGATGCGCTGCTGGCGGGGCCGGGTGGGATGCGAGGGGAAGGGACGACGAGGGGGATAGGCTAAGAAGGCGCCAGAGAGTCGTCAGCAACTGCAGCTGCTGCTGCTGCCGCCGCGGCGCGCGCTCCCCTCGCGCTCTCCCGCTCGGCTTTGTTGTCATGAGCCCGGCGGCGGCGGCGGCGGCTCCTCTTGCTGCTGCTGCTTGCCTGCCGGAGACAATACGAGAGTCAAGTCAATACAGTCCCCTCACACAGGTACTTGAGGCGGTCACGTGGAGGCCCCGGATCTGTTTACAAGCCGCTGCGGCGGCGACGACAACGACGAGGAGGCGGCGGCAGCCGCGTTCCGGCTGCTCAGCTCTTGCCCCGCCTCCAGGACTCTCTTCTCCCCCCTCACGACACACACATACACTGCGCCCCGGCGCAGACGGCGACTCCTCCTCTCCGACGCCAGCCCTGGGTGTGGGGAGGCGACGGAGCGGGGGGGGGGCTGCCGAAGCCGTTTGCACAGCCCTTCCCTCCCCCCTCCTGTTGTCTCCGGCCCGACCAGATTGCCTCCTTTCTCCAGTTTCTCCCTCTCCCGCCTGCCAGGAGCGCCTTCATTATCCCTCTCCCTCAAACAATGTTCCTATTATTCAAGCCACGCAGGCAGCGCACGTCAGGCTTAGCCTCCTGCTCCTCCCTCGCTGAGGGACTTGCACTGTACCCGAAAAGCACAATAACCTCACCGTCCTCCCAACATAACAATACCCCTCGCCACGGCCCTTGTGCCTATGGAAAAGCAATGGCGATTGTGGACCTGATGTGTGCGAAGAAATATGGTAGCCCAGCTGCTGGAGGCTCTCCTGACAGCTGCATCTTACAACCGCTTGCGCCTCACGAGGACACGCCAGCTTTTGCTAGTATGAATGTTGACGGTGGGTGTGTTATTCGGAGGGGGGTGGTATTTTATTCATTGTAAATGTCTATACTGTATTCCTAAATTAAATTCATTCATTTCAAATGAGTCCTTGTTAATATCCAAACGCTTTGGGAAGGAGATGTGTGCAACAACACAAATGGGCATTCATGTGCTACTGGTCAGGTGGTCAGAAAGGACATCTCTGATTCTCCTGGAAATCAGGAGGACTTAATTTTGAGCTGGTTTAGTCTGTAGAAGCTGTTTGGTACTTCCAATGCCTATCTCTGATCCTGGAATATATTGTAGCAGCCACACCAATCTCCAAGCGGCGCAAGATTCCAGGGGCTCCAAGTGCTTACCCAGGCTTTGTGCTGCTTTTTGGAATGAGGCACAGCAGAGACTGTGATGTCTTTATAATACAGTGGTACCTCGGGTTACAAACACCTCGGGTTACAGACTTCGCTAACCCAGAAGCAGTACCTCTGGTTAAGAACTTTGCCCCAGGATGAGAACAGAAATCGCATGTCAGCGGTGCGGCAGCAGCAGGACGCCTCATTTGCTAAAGTGGTACCTCAGGTTAAGAACGGTTTCAGGTTAAGAACGGGCCTCCAGAATGAATTAAGTTCATAACCAGTGGTACCACTGTATATGGTTTATTAACACAGGTATACAACCTGAGCCTACAATGGAGGAGTTCACAGCATGGACACCCCAAAAGAGTCTTGTTTTTCCCATAGCTGCAGCCTTGGATTGAAACAGAAATCTTGAATGCCTTGAATCTAGCCCATTAGCAAATTGGCAGCCGATACAATATTTTCAACACGTGTGTTGCATGTTGCTAGTAGGTTGCCCTGGAGAACAATCACACAGCAGCTTTCTGCACAAGCTGCAAGTGGTGTAGCATGGGTTGCCAGTGCCCGGGCAAGGCAAGTATGCTCTCCACCACCTGCCAGTAGACGGAACAAACGGGCAATAGCTTGGCAACCTACATGAGTGGCAAGCGTAGTGCCCAGTGAGCACCGAGCGCAGCAGAGAGCAGGTATATTTCTAAAGCCCATGTGGAGGGCACCCTAGCAACCAGCTGTTGCCCAAATCCACTCCTCAGTCTGCCCATGCAAACATTGGGAGATTTTCTGTGCAAGGGAGAAGGCACACTAATTTGTATTAATTAATTAATTAATTAATTGATGATGATGATAAATTATTTATACCCCACCCATCTGACTGGGTTGCCCCAGCCACTCTGGATGGCTTTGAGCATATATAAAAACATAGTAAAACATTAAACCTTAAAAGCTTCCCTATACAGTGCTGCCTACAGATGTCTTCTAAAAGATATCATTACTAATTATTATAATGATTTATTATGACTACTTTCTTTCCTTTTCTTTTGAAATTTTGTACCCCAAGAATTTTGCACCCAGGGCCCCTGCCCCTCCTATGCTCCTACAAGCTGCAGCTTCCAGACCAAATTCAAGGGCAGCCTCAAATAAAGTGTATTACAATAATCAAGCCTATTAATTAATCTAGTTTCTAATGCATGCACCACTGTATCCAAGCAATCCCAGTCCAGGAGCAATTGTAGCTGGCACACCAGCCAAAGCTGGCAAAAGACTTTCAAATACATTGAAGACACCTGAGTAGTACCCCCCCAAGGAGTTCCCCTAAGCTATGCACCTGTTCTTTCAGAGGGAGTGAAACCCCATCCAAAGCAGGCAACAGACCATTTCCCCAGACCTGGCAGTCACTCACCCACAGGGCCTCCATTTTGCTAAACTTCAGCTTCAGTTTATTGGCTTTTATCCAGCCCATTACTGAGTTCAGGCAGTGGTTCAGGACTTGCTCAACACCTCCTGGTTCAGATGTTAGAGAAAAACAGAGCTGTGTGTCATCAGCATGTGTATAACACTGTGCTCCAAACAGACTACATACTGAGTTCCAAGCAGATGCCTTGGCTACTTAGCAGTCCAGGCTCTAATGCATAGTGTTATTAGTTGCAAGTATTAACAAAGCTCTCCCAGATACCGCCCTGCAGCTTATGCAACTGAAGCACATACAGTCTTTCTTTCTCTCTCTCTCTCTCTTTCTTTCTTTCTTTCTTTCTTGATTTATATCTCTCCTTTCTCGTGTATTTGCATTATTCAGAGCATCTTACAACAATGAAACTACCACTTCCCTAATAAAACAACCATATAAAACCAAGCAATATAAAAACCAGCTCAACAGATATTAAAACACGCTCAGCAGTTTAAAAGCCCTAAGCAGCGTTCACCATATGAAGACTCATCTGCCCGACAAGATAAAAGCTTGTTGGTCCTTGAAACATCACAAGATTATAAGACCATCTCCAGTTAAAGCAGCTGTCAATTGTAATCCTGTGTTTACACAGGAGTGGGTTATGCCCTAGTGCAGGGGTTGCCAACCTTTCTGGACCTAGGGACACATCTGGAATTTTGAAAAAGTGCCATGATTGCCAGTCACAAAATGGCTTCTGTGGGGATATGTCATCGCAAATATAAATTTTAAAAAAATGGCTACAGTGGGATAACACAAAATGACTGCTGTGAGGAGTAATGGCTGCCATATTTAAAACAGCATATTTCAGAGGGGGGTGTTCAGTGTGGGAGAAGCTGAGCCAGTGCAAACAGGAACTGAGCAGGAAGACACACACACACAAAAAAGGATTTTTGAGGGGATATTGACATTTCATGGGCACCATAGCAGGTACTGATGGCCCCTGATGGTGTGCTTTCCAAGTGTTTTTGGAAATATAATTTTTCAAAACACCCAAAGGCTATTTTGAGGGTTGTTCCCAGATTCACTTATGCAAATATAAAAGGGAAAATGAGAATTAGTCCTGAGAATTACATTGGTAAGGAGAAATATAGTGAGTTTGCTTAATAAGGAGACTCCTGTCAACTGTGAATCATATAATAGCAGGTTATATTCTGGGACGTGGGTGGAGCTGTGGCCTAAACCACTGAGCCTCTTGGGCTTGCCAATCAGAAGGTCAGAGGTTCGAATCCGTGCAAGGGTGAGCTCCTGTTGCTCTGTCCCAGCTTCTGCCAACCTAGCAGTTCAAAAGCATACCAGCATGACCCGGAAAACTGTCTGTGGACAAAAGCTGACTCCCTTGGCATGAAGCAAGATGAGCAACGCACCCCATAGTCACTTTTGACTGGACTCAACTGTCCAGGGATCCTTTGCCTTTTTACCTAAGTTATATTTTAATGAAATGATGGAGAACCTCACTAGCCAATGAATCTTTACTTCCCTTTCCTACAGGAATAGACGTATCCCATTCCAACAATCATGTCCAGTTGTGTGCACAGATATTTGCCCTATAAAATAAATAGGAAAGACTGCATCAGGACACTCTAGATTATGGACCAATGCTATAATTTCACTAGAACAGAATACTTATTCCAAAAACAAAATTAAGTAATTTAGCAAGTAACCACAACTGGAAGCTGGTCCTCCAAACAGTAAATCAGGAACTGAGGGAAACGCCACAAACCACACAATATGTATTATGTAATAGCTGCTGGGTACATTTATTTTAAAATGGAAATGTAACTCATTCATAAAAGAAAGGATTGACCAAGGTTAACTATGAAAACATTACTCTAGCACTGGTTGGGACCCACTATCTGGTCATGGGTTTGGGTCTTATCCCTAACCTTTATCCAAGGTGGGTCATAACAGCAGTACCATCACCATACAAATATATGGTAAAAAAATTTAATAAATGGGTCCCAAAACACTAGGTGGGTCCTGAGTTTGAAAAGGTTGAACTTTACTACTCTAGTACAGTGGTACCTCGGGTTAAGAACTTAATTTGTTCTGGAGGTCCGTTCTTAACCTGAAACTGTTCTTAACCTGAGGTACCATTTTAGCTAATGGGGCTTCCCGCCGCCACCACGCAGTTTCTGTTCTCATCCTGAAGCAAAGTTCTTAACCCAAGGTACTATTTCTGGGTTAGCAGAGTCTGTAACCTGAAGTATCTGTAACCCAAGGTACCACTGTATTCTATAAACTAAAACGTCCAGGCCATTTCTCCATTAACTTTCCAGAAAGAAGCAAATAATATTTTACCCTTTCAGCACTGCTTTTTAGATGAATCTCCCACTCTCCCATTCTTCAACAATAGTTCTTATAATTGAGGTGTCAGATTTTGACATGGATATCTTCATGTCACTTTGCTTCCCAGCACTGTCACAATGGAAAACACCAACCCTTGCAACTTGGGAGGCGATAGGTTTGCTAAAGAAGATGGAAGAGATTTGTTCTCTGTTGTTTACAAGGGTAGGACTAGAACCAAAAGTCCAAACTGCACAGAAGTGTATTTCAGCTAAATATTAGGGGGAACTTTATTTGGTAAGGGGAGTTCAACAATGGATCAGACATCCCCAAGGGGTGGTGGACTTACTCTGCCAGTAGTATTTAAACAGAAGCTAGATTAGACAACCATCTGTCAAGGCTCCTGCAGTTACATCCTGCATTTTGGATCCTGCACCGAGTAGCAGGTTGAGCTGCATGACCTCCAGGATCTCTCCCAACCCTATAATTCTAT